CCACTTAACCATCTCCCCAAGTGTATTGTTCTATATCAGTAAAGTCCAGATGCAAAGAACTGTTTTAGGTGGTGTGAAACTGATTTTACAGTGGGTTCAGGTCCACTTGCTCCAGAAGTCCAAAGGTTTGACAGTGATCTGCTCTTGGCTGCAGAGTCAAAGAGTCTTATGAGCTACTTCTGGTGTCTAGAAATACAAACGCTGTGAAATCAGTTATAGTGGAACCCCGCTGTTAACACAAAGCGAAAGATGTGGATTATAATGACAATTTTGTAGTTTAGCGTATACATTATCCATCTTTCTACATTGTTACAAAAAGACAAGGCTAAGAGACGTATACTTTTTAAGTTCATTATTTCTACTTAGCATTTTGTCTCCAGTGAGCTGATAATAACACTCATAGTGAAAGTACCACCTGTCAATCAAACACCATGGGCGGGACTCTTTACTCCATAAATGGACTTCCTGTCGATGCAGTATTTTTTCCTTTGTTTTCTTTTCTTATTGTCCTCATTATGTTATTATGTTCTGTAGGGGGCTCATCTTAATTTAAATAAACATTTAACTGAACTTCATTTATTGGCAAAACTTCACATAGTAATATCTTTTGTTTTTAAGAAAGAAAATGATTGATCAAGAATATAATCGAAAACCAACTGTTGCTCCTCTGACAAACACCCGAGAAGACCCCCGCTGTCAGAGGGGCATCCACAACTTAAGCAGCAAACAAACCTATGTTGGTCCCTAAACTATCATCAGGTCTATTCCTGCTGCTCATTGGGACTTGGGCTCTCCAAGGACCGCTGAAAACCGGATTGTTTTACACACACCTGTTCCTGAACGTCACTCGGCTACACGCCTGTCTCAGAGGGAGCGCAGTTAATCGCTGATTTGGCACACTTACAGTCACAACATACCAAGGTCCAGTTTCAGGAACTCACTCACACACACACACACACACACACACACACACACACACACACACACACACACACACACACACACACACGATGTCCGGCAGTGGCTCAGTCAGTAGGGGCTTGGACTGTGAGCCGTACGTAGGGTCGCCGGTTCAAGTCCCCGACCAGACCTAAAAATATGGACTGCTACTTGGAGAGGTCCCAGTTCACCTCCTGCCCTGCCGTGGTGCCCTTGAGCAAGGCACCGGACATCCCCCTTCCCCCCTCACTCCCATTGCTCCCCGGGCACTGTACACTAGCTGCCCACTGCTCCTAGTACTAGACTCCTGGTACTAGGATGGGTTAAATGGAGAGAACACATTTCACTGTGTGTGCTGTGTGCTCTGCATGTGTGACCATTAAAGAGGGTTTCATCCCTTCCAATTCTATTTTCTATGATGAGACAAGCAGTCCAGCAGCCATATTTGATTTTCCACTGAATGTTGCCTCACCAAAATAACTTCAAACTGTGCAAAACACATAAAGCTGCGTTTTCAAAGCCAGGCTGAAACTTGCAATTATTTTCAGTTGTCTGCAAAAAAAAAGGGGGTAATAGTTTGTATATACTGGAACTCTTACAGCTTTGTGGCTTTGACTGAATGGGAAATAATTAAAGTGCTTTTTGGCAGCACATGAAGCCAGACGGCGATAAAAATGGCTGAGCTTTTCAGCGAGTGAGGCCCCTAAGCTCGGCCTGTCAGGAGGCATGAGAATCTTCCAGAAATCTCTCCTCCTGGACTCTGGGACAGTTTCTGCTCCTCCGTTTCCCATTTCCTCTTCAGTTCAGCAGCTTAGCAACTTTCACAACGCTACGTTCCTATCATGGGGAAGACAGTAAGTACATAATACTTGTTACAGAGAACCAGACTACCAAAGTACTGCCCCAGGAGACTGATGATGGACCAATACAACTTTGATGCAGCTCTTAGGTGACGGACGGCCAGTGTTTCTGTTCCAAGGGCCCTACTGTATATTACCCAGCTTTATATCCTCTTAATATGACACATTAATAGACCTGCAAATGGTTTTATGTTCTCAGCAATGTTTGAAGGACGCATATTTGCAGAGGTTTGGCTTGCTACAAAATGCAGCCCTTTGCTGTGGAGAGTTTTAAAAAAATTATTTAGAGAGAATAAGCAGCCTGTGTTGTCATTCTTGAAGAAATGGACACAGGACACAGCAAGAAGAAAGTACCCCCCAAACTTGGTGTATCACTAACATATCAATTTATAGTTACTGTGGAGCCACACCTCCTCCTCTCCAGCTCCTCCTCCTTTGGTCAGCTAGAGGTGGTTTTAAGGTTGCACAGCAGCCTAAAGAGGGAGTTTGATGCCCGGCAGCCAATGGTAAGCAGAGAGGGGAGTGGGGAGGAAGAATTGGGGGAACAGAGAAGGAGGAAAAGGGGGAATGGGAAGGAGAGAGGAGAAGGAGGAGGAGGGAGGAGGAATGGAAAGCGTCCACCAGCGCAAACACCTCTGAAACAGAAACATCCATTTAGCAGGGAAAACAAGCCCCCCTCACAAGACCTCCATGAATGGACCACTTCAGCCGGCCGAGGAAGTTCCAACGAGGGGCAGGATGTTCCCCTCAGGACGCACTTGAGACGGGCTGAGGGCCAAAAGCCTGAATACATAGACCCCTCTCTCTCCCTCTGTCACTGTCCAGCTTTGCCCTCCCACCCGGGGCCGAGTGGCTTCAGTACCCCCACAAATACCCCCACAAATACCCCCTCCCCGCAGCCTGTTCCTTCCCCTCCCAGCAGCCGTTTACTGAGCCGCAGCCAGCGAGGCGGCGAGGGAGGGCGTGGAACTATACTCAACAAACAAAGACGGAGGGGCAAAGACTTTCCGTGATTAAAGAGCAGTTAAGACGCTATGAGAGGCTAATTTGTTCACTGTGGGACAGAATCAACAGGAAGTGGGGGCAGAAATCTGTGCCGCCTGCATTTCCTGCTGCAATTTAAAAGGAGAATAATGCCTCTATTTAGAATGATAGCTCCTATATCTAAATCCAATTCATGTTTTACCTCAATGCATCTTTTATGCATGTCATCATGTAGTTGCATAATTCTTTTCAGTTGAAAAATATTTTCATATTTTACTCACATTGCTATGTCAAAATGAGCTACTACAAAAGAAACATGCACAAGTAGTCAGAAATGATCAGCTGACGAAATCAGATTGTTGTCAGACGACGTGTTAAAATCAGCAGCAATAGTGTTACACCACGAAGTTAGCGTGTAGATGGCCCTTCAGTACTGGTTCTTACATCTGTACACTGTTGTCACCGTTAAAATGACACAGAAACAGAACACAGGACGTGAGGTTTAAAAGAGACCGGGATTACCTGTAAACTTTTTGGACAGTGGAGATTGGGTAATGATGTCCTGGAGGTATTGCCGGTGGAGATAATGATGGTGGAGGGGCAGTGGAGAGCGGAGGGATTAAGAAAGGAGGGTTGGGATACAGGTCATAAGTGTTGACCTGCTTCAAGGCAGGTGGAGATCCATTGAGAGGCTAACAAAAGCACAGCAAAGATACACTCATCAAGGAAAAGGCTCCAGAAGTGGCCTTAACGCATGTACAGTATCTACCATTGGATTTGGATGAACAGGAGATGAGTGGTTTAAGAGCAGAGTTGAAATACTGAAGAGCTGATGAGCAGGAGGGAAGTGATGAGCCATTCGCAGGCAGGTGTGCGTGAAACGGAGAAAAAAAAACTTGGTTTGAAGTGACTTTCATCTAACACACCCACATGAGACTACTGAGTTACGAACATGTTTGACTTAAAAGAAGTTACTTGGCAGATCAGAGGAAGTATTTTTCTTGAGTTCTTTCTGGTTGCCTTGAACCCAGTCGTGGTTCAGCTAGAGACAACTTTCAGCTGCAAGTTAAAGTCTTTATACAGGAAATAAAGCCTTAATGTGGCTTCCTTTTGTTTACATGCAAGGCTAGAGAAAGATACGGTTGAACATTCTACTACTAAATTGACCTTTGAGCCAAGGTTATTTTTAGTCATACTAGTTGCATGGCTCTGGGGATGGTCCGTCCACAACTTTATACCACACTCAAAATATCTCAAAAACTATTGGTTGGAGTCGTGTGACAATTCGGTCCCCAGATGATGATTCCTAGCATCTTTGGGGATCCCGTGACGTTAAATATATCATCACCATGAGGTTGACATTGAGGAAATTTGTTTCACGACTTCTAGTCAGAACTACCTCAGGAAAAATTGTTATTTGTCCAAGACTTTAGCTTTGGACTAAATTAATATCTGCGAAAAACCCTCCGACCAGCTTCAGTTGTACCTTGTGTTAAATGCTAATTAGGAAACGTTTTTTCTCCTACCTAAACGAATACTTCACTCCCAAAATGATCAATGAGTAACCCTAACCCTTTATTGAAACCACTTTTACAAACAAAAAAGTTTTCAGAAAGTTCAGTAAGGTTTATGACGCAGATGCATGTGTTTGAAGAGTAGAGAGCATACGATTTGATTATTGAGGCTAAGAATATGTGGACCCTATCATGGCAGAAAATCTAAGTTTTCTTCAAGAATTCAAAGTAGCACGAGGTAAACAAATGATTTACAAATGGTTGTTTTGTTGACGAGGTATTCCCTAAACATTAGCATGTTTGCAGTTAGCTCCAAGCAGTGCAATGTCTAAGAGCAGTCTCACATTACAGTAAGCACGTAGACAGTTAGTCTTGTTACCATGTGTGCCATCCATGTCCAAAGCTTGTTTGTATTCAGTTTCACCCACAGTTAGTTTGTGTAGAAGGAAAACAAGCTGCCAACTCCACGACCGCGCTGACAAATAGTTCAGACAAAACAAACTGAGACACTTTTGCAAAATAAATTCACTGTTGTTTGTATTCTGTGGTATTTTGGTTTCATCTCATTTACATAAACTTCCAAAAACTTCAGATTTCTTCACCAACGTGTTTGGGTTTTTGTTGGACTTGTTTCTGTCACAGGATCTGTTTGTTTTTCCAAATGCATGCATCTCAGTGATAGACAGAGCAATGACAGCAAACGCTATTATAACATGTTTATTGAAAACCTTTGTGACAGCATAGTTTGTCAGGCACAGAGAGAGATAGAGAGACTGAGAGAGAGATGTGAAATTGTAGTTTTTTCCCTCAGTGGGAGATGTTTCCCCAGAGGGTTTGTTGTGGTGGAATGTTACAGAGCATTCATCATGATCAAAACAGGTACATTGCAACAAACAAGCATGAAGCTATGAATTACAACAACTAAAAGAACTCACATAATGCCAAATGGTTAGTTTCACCTTTCTATGTTAGAAACATGAGTTCAGAGGGACGAACAATTCATTATGTGGGGTTGGGGGGAAAAACAATCAAAGGACAAAAATGACAAAACCTGATGTGGATTGCAAAATGAAATAAATGTATATGAAAATCATTTCCTCTCTATAGTTCTTTCAAAAATAGCTACATAAAACTCTAAATCAGCAACGTAAAAGCATATTTCAAACTATAAATTAATCTGCACTAACATTGTTGGGTTAGAAATGGCATGACAAAATGAAAATGGGATGAAAAACCGTGTGAAACCAAATAAAATCAATAAAAACGTGTGAAATATGAATAGTTTTGATATCCCTGGAAGGAAAGGTGTATATCTGTGACACCAAACGAAGCCGAGATAACAGCCCTCTCCTCCCAATTTCATTTTCAATCCGGATTTTTTTCTTTTTTTGAGCAGAAAGAGAATAAATAAGTCAGTCAGAGTAGAGACAACAGGTGGGTAAAGGCCGATGTGTGACTGTACATACAGTAAGAGTCGCTCCCTGCTGAGGCCATGCTGTTTAGTCATTCAATAGCAAAGAAAACATGTTCACTCATAAAATAAATGTGTTGTTTTTAACATCTGTCTGTTGGGCAACACAATACTGACATGTTTGCACCAGACTCAAAAATTAAACCTCCACATTTTCTGTTTTAGAAATTGGTTAAGCATCAACTTAACTCAAAGGAAATGTTTATATATAGCCTAACATATTTTATTTTGAAGAACACAACTGTATGTGTTTCTTTCTTTCCGATTTCGGTGTCGAAATATCATATATCAAAACGAATATCTAGTGTGAATCAGTGCTAATGTTAGAAAGCTTCCGATTGGAATTGATTGCCCGTATCTTAGCAACACTGGCTTTCAATCGTTAGCAACAGTTGGGAATAGTTGCCATGGGAAAGCCATCGGACGCTTGAAGATTTTTATTTCATATTTCTTTACGTTTTGGCAAATTGGCCTCAGTTCTAGTTTGTCATGGATGTACGTTAGAATAGTGTTACTTAATTAAACTTAAAAAAAAGCCAATTCTTTTGGAGCCATGAGGGACGTCTTTTATCAGGTTTTCTAAGCAGATTTATGTAAATGTAGAGTCTTACATGCGGAAAAACCTACGCTTCAAATACAACTGTATTTCCCTCTTCCCTAGTAAAAAGCTGCCACTGGAGATTTGTGATTTTAATAAGATGGCAACAATCCATAAGCCAGGACATCATTTAAAGGCTTAAGATAACGTTTCATTTGTTTTAAAATTGCTTTGAATGACCTCGAGGAAAGTCCATAATTTCAGGTCTTGGCTGCGGTTTTGTCTATTATAAAAGATAGAATATATTGCATTTTGAAAAATACAGTGCTTTTCTTTTGCAGTAACAACACAAATGTTAAAAACAACACATCCTTTTAAAATGAAGAACAGAGAGACAGAGGCTGTCAGTATCAGAGTCAAAGAAAGCTTGATAGAATGAAAAGAAAAGGCAAAGGAGGACATCCAAATAAAAATAAAATAAAAGGATAGATGAAGACAGGAGCAAAGCCTGATGGGGGGCATCATATCTGATAAAAAGACTACTCTCATCATCATGTTCTGGCTCTTTAATGAAAAAACACTGAAAAGCTATGAATAAAAAATACTTTCACCATAGGGAAAGCTTTTACCCAGCATGGAAGAATAAATAAAACAAAACAGCGTTTCATTAGATCCATCCAACCTTTACACAAGTGCCTTTTTGTCTTTCAAAGGCTAATACTTACATACTTCCAGAGAGAACTGCTTCTTTTATCTTTTTTTATATTTTGCAAATTTATACAATCAAAACATGGTCAAAATAAATCAATTAATCTCCTTTTTGTTCGCTAAATTATTCCAGGCACTTCATAGATTTGGGCCAAAACTGCACTCAAGACAGAAATAGCAATAACTGGGTGTAACCTTTCACTTCACAAAGGCCTTGTTTTTGTGCATAAACCAATGACAAATCACATAAATTGGTGCTAAAAATTAAAAATCTCCCAGTGTAGGAATTGAAATAAATACAGATTTTTAAGTACTTTAAACATTGGTGGGGATTTCATTAAGTACTGACACAGTCTTGTTGGGTAATTACAATAAATGTCTCTGCAAAAATTCAGTTCACACACTAGAATAAGGCCATTGCACAGTAAAGGGTTAACACCGTTTCCGTTTAGCAGCGAGTGAATCGTGTTTCCGAACCCTTCAAATGTCTGCTTTTCCAAACGTCGCTTTCCCTTTTGTGACTAAATTCAGACTCTGTAAACGTTTCAACCCTTTCACTTTCTTGGGGTCAGCTGGAGAAACGACTGCATCAAAAGAAGGGGAGATATCCATTTGGCAATCCTTCCCTGCACATGTAACCTCCGCCCGCCTACATTCCACAGTGCAGCGTTCGGTTCACAGATCTGATGAACTCGGAGAAATAGACTTTTAAGACTAATTTGGCACTTTTGCAAACTGAGCTCAGGATCCACCACATACTTCGGGGTAAACAAACTGATATATATACTGTTTATATAATATATATATTTTGCTGTTTGACTCGTAAGTCGCACAGCATGCCTTCATTTCAGTATTAATACTATAGAGCAGCGATAAAATCTCAAGCGTATGGGCAGGTTTTTCTCTCTCGAACAAACGGACATAACAGCTTCACACCTCTGCCTTCAAGCTGATATTTTAATCCACAAGTGTCATGCTCAAGGGCACCTTGACACCGCATGCAGCTTGCTAGAATCCACCCTGTGACCTTTCCGTTAGAATAAAAGAGTTTGAAGCCTTCAGAGCTACCTTTAAAAGAAAATATCCATCTATAAATGCTTTAACTCTGTAAAAGATAATTGTGAAGGTGAATTCCTGGGTCCTTTTTGTCATATAATGTATTCTTGTGTGTTAAAGGTCAATGTCAGAATGTGGTGTTGAGGCTCAGAAGGAGCGATAATCATCAATTATGTGTGATTCTCAAAAAGGAACAGACCACGGTTTGCGCCACTGACTGGACTCAAAATCCCAGAATGCATTGCACAATAATGCAGATTAGGTTCGGGGAGAGCCATGTCATGGTCAATTTTCTTTGTAGTTGGTGGCTCTTACAAAAAAGTGGGTAAAACTTGCATGTTTTCAAATTTCTCTAAATGCCACAGGTTCAAACATTTTCTTGACTAACGGCTAAAAATCATTCTGGGAAATGCAGTTATAACTAAAGTTGTGTCAATTCTCAAATGTAATGACATTACAATTAAATGAAACATTAGTCGAAGGATCTTTCCTTTAAAAGGCGGCTGAGGTTCTCTGAAGGCCCTTCATGTTTCACAGCAAATTGTTGTGGGTGTTCAAAATGTTTAAAGTACTTGATTCGTACTAAAAGGCCTCTCTGTACATATCTTGAAGCGCTGCCATTTCTTGCCCAGCAAGAGCTAATCGTTGCTTGATATTGCAAACGTCAACTTTTCAAATCAGAATCTGAACTCAGCGGAAACGTCCGGCTGCCCTTCAGCGGGAGCCTTCAGTTCCCCAGTCCTCCTCTGGCGGTCGAATCACTCTCCCGCCTAATAACCATCTTCCCTTCTCTTATACATTCTTTTTTTCTTTTCAAAAACTACCCAGAAAAATAATAACAAAGATGGATCTAAAACCAGAGGAGTCTGCAGTTCTGTTGTAAAATAAGTTACAAAAAAAAGAAGAAATAAAATCTTTGCGTACAGTACTAAAATCCTAAACTAGACCTTTCCAACTTAAGAAACCACATGTTAAGTCTATAAATATCTTTACAAATATACACGTTAATTATTCAAATAAACCTTTTCTGTATCACTTTAAATGATTAAATGTTTTACCCTTTCATGACAGTGTCTTCTAGATTGCTTCCTAAAAACAATACTTTAAGAAAATGTAATTTTTTGTCTTTTAAGTACATGGCTGTAAACAGCAATATGATACATATTTGCATTTATATATTTACAATAAATCATTTTTCTACATACATAAAAAACAAACTCCAAACCTTATTTGACTAATTACTGAATGGCCCTGAAACTTCGCCTCACGCTTGATGAGGAATTTGTTTCATGGTTATCACAAAACCTTTTTTCTTTTGTCGGGATGCTAAAAGGTTTTACAGATTGATGAGAAAAACACGTTATATGGTCATGTGATCCTCTCTGCTGTTGAGCTCTTCTGTGTCTTGGGAAGAAAGAGTCCCATCGTGGAGTTGATTCTGGCTTTGCTGGTTTCTTGTCAAACCTTTATCACGATTTGAGGGCTCGGCGCAGACGAGGGGATACAAATCTAAAAAGGTCCTCGCCTACTGGATCGCAAAGCAGTCACTGACCAATGCCCTTCACTTCCTCCTCTTATATCCATTTTTAAAAGTCAATCTCAGGAGGTTTATTTATCCCAGTAGGCACGGAATGGTTTCACCCAACAGATTGTCCGTAAGAAAAGACTGGCCCGAGTACAAAAATATAATTTCAGAACATGGTTCAAAAAATAATCCTTCAATGTTTCCAAGAGTCTGTTAGGGAGGAGGGGGAGGAGGGGGAGGACAACTCAGTCAAAGAAGGTTTAAGACGAATCGAAGAGCTGAAGCACTGTGGAAGTATTGCATGCTGAGTTTCCAAATCTTGAGGAGTCACTGAGAGGTTAATCGCAAACTGTGAGAGGAGGTTAAAGTCCAACCCCCTCCCCAAGCTCAGATTTTATGTCCTTATCACCCCGTTGCTGGGGAGCTGTTTGGGAAGACAGGGCTCTTCAGGCAGCGCTTCGTGGGCGAACACCGAGTCGTCTCCCGAGGAGCAGGTGCTGTTCGAGTCCTGGCAGGTGGGCGAGTACTGCTCGAAGGGCACCGCCAGGTCCAGGTACTCCTGTCAGAGGAGAGGGCAGAGGTTAGACCGTCAATCCTCTCTGTGGTCACATAAATAAGCGAGGAATTATATAATATTTTCCTTATCATCACCTGTATTCTTTAGAATGTTAGTGGGTTCAACAGAGCATGGTACTAAACTCTAACCACTGTTTTATGATTGTATTTCCATGTGTTTCTTTCTAAACTAAGTTGCATATTTTGTTGTTTTCTAACCCTGACTTGTTTAAATAACATAATACTGTTAAACCAAAAAACCTCCCGTTTTAAAGACACAGCTGAACATGTGTTTAAAACATGTTGAAGTCTTCATCTATCAAAATCCCTTTCTTTTCAGTTTTTCTAAAATATTTAAAAAACATTCATGTTGAAATTGGCGCAATAAATTAGTTCAATCAAATACGATATCAGGCAAATAGCTAACCCTAACCCATCACATTAACTACATTTGCTTCTTTGGGTCGAATCGTAGCTATCAAAGCCAAATAAGTGTTTGTTTAAATCTTAAAACATATTTTTATAAGGCTAACACTTTTCCACATTTCCAGAATATATGGCTGTTCTACAATTTACTAATCCTTTAACTCCTGAAATAACATTTTGACTTAATTCCAGTTTGAACTCCAGTCATAACTGAGAAATTTGTCAAACTGCAGTAAATAAAGTTGCATTAATCAACCTATGACTTTAAATGATATAACGTGTTAAGAAATGTGTCTGAAGCTAGGTGAGGCTTTATGAAAAAGTTACAATGCTCCAAGGTGAAACTACAGGTACATTTTGTGTCCTTCCTGTTGTGAGCGAGCAGCCGCTGTGCAGAGAGACTTACGTCGGTGGAGGTCATGGATAAAACCCGGTCGTGATCTTCTACCAGCTGTCTGAAGGTCGGTCTCTGCGACGGCACCGCGTGCCAGCACTCCCTCATGATCATGTACCTGAAACAACCAATATCAAGCTTCAGTTTCTCTGCAACGCGCCCATTACATATACAATATGAATCTACAACAGGCTGATCTCAGATGGACAGTTTCCAGCGTATAGGTCTACTTGATCTGCAGCTGGAGGCTGATGCTCTGTAATTACGGTACTGCAAGACGACACCGCAGTTGACAGTAATATAAGACATCTTACGATAGCCACAGAAATAAGGAGAAACCAAAATGAGCTGCTGATGTATGGTGATCGATGGATCCCAAAATACTTGAATGAATAGCTATGCTTAAGTATTTTAAATCAGATTTAATTTGACATTTTAATGTCTCCAACCTCAAATTCATGGGTAATTCAAATGTACTAAACGTTTTTGCACATTTTGAAGGTAAGTTGTTGCTAGTAAACAACAATAAGTGAGTACAGAATGCATACAATCTCCTAACGTGAATGCACTGAGGTATTTACAGGTCAGGTTTATCTGCACTAAGCCGCCTCCTGCTACATTCCTTCCTATAACTGACTATAATTCAGAAAAACACTTACAGTTCATGCGTGCAGTTGGCAGGTTTGTCCATGCGATGTCCCTCCTTCAGCAGCTTAAACAGTTCTTCTACTGGGATACCGGGGTACGGCGAGCCTCCCAAAGTGAAGATCTCCCACAACAACACCCCATAGGACCACCTGAACACACACACACACACACACACGCGCAATGAATACAGATTTAGAGGTCAAACTGCACTCATGCCCTGAAGCAGTCAGGAGGTGTGTTCCCCAGAGAAACAGATGAATCTGGTTTGGGGGAAAACATTGATTCTCAATAATGTTTACTGCACTCAATTTAAGATTGAAATTGACATTCCTATTGTCTCGGGCACTCAATATACAATATTTGTAGAAACTCGTCCTTCAAAACAAGTCAAAATCATTGTGAAGAATTAGAATAGAGATTTCCCTTTTTTTAATAGATACAGAAGTGAGATGACTTACTCAATTAGCTAATTACTCTATTTTTCATTACAAACTGTTAATTAAAAATATTGTTTGAGACTATTTTCAGAACGTGTGAGTATTGTGTGTAGAAGGACGTGGTAATTATGGGATTGAGGCAGAAATAAAGTGAGTTATAATATACGTGACCTAGTGCTAATGTGTTATCAATACTTTTTGGAAAACAATGGAGCTCTATGGAACAGTTTAAGAAGATATATAAGGCTATCAAATATTGCCATCTTTATTCTTTAAGGGCTAATCTGCACAAATGTATCGAGCAGTCTTGTTAAATGACATGTATAAACAAATAATACACATCTACAACCGTATACCAAATGAAAAAAGCTCATAGTATACCAGCAGTATATTTGCTTTTATGTATCTTGCTGGTGTTTCATCAGTTTAATAAAAGCATCACTGTCAGCATTCTTTGAAACTGGGCCAGTATGAGCTGCAGCGTAATGGGAAAAACACACACATACATATCTCCTTGTTTTTAATTAAATCCACTGAGTCTCCAAATGTGGATGTAAAAACGTGGCTATCATCCATTTTTGAGTACCTTAATTGGCCATGCTTGCTCGAAAGGATAGTGCACTCCTGAGAAAAAGAGATTGAATCATCTTTGTTTGATTTTAAAAGCTGAGTTTAAAAACAAATTGGAAAAAGTCTTTGGGAACATAATGTATCTTGAGGAGCATAGTGTTTCCAAAAACACCTACAAGCAGTGACCTAAATTGAGCACAAAGCATGAATAGAGGAACTTATTCTGCTGTATCTACAGTTACAGTCCAGCTGCTATGGTGCACCTCTAACCCGAGCCCTCCTCTCTCTGTCTGTCTGTCTTTGTGGCAGCAGCTCCAGTGAACTGCTGCATTATTCCTAATCAGATAATGGTGGTCTATCAACCCAGTGTACTATTGTTCGCCCGTTAGTCCTCTGACTCAGAATCAGACCCCTCCTCCAGGAGCCCAGCAGACTTAATCTAATTTTCCACGCTCCGGTCCAGAGGGCTCGCTAGACCTCCATCCATACAGCGAGAGTGAAAGAGAGACATCAATATTCAGAGGTAATAAAGGGGACTGAGGAAAGAGTTGGGAGTTAAGAATAACCGCCGATACAACTGAACTCGACGTGAACAAAGGACATCTTGAGGGTCAGTTTAGGTTCAGGACCGTTTCAGAGGCGACCACAGGAATCAGTTTATGTTCACTGCTAAAAATGAATTTTCATCAGCCATCAGGCGGCTAATAGTAACAGGCAATCAAGATGTAAACACTTCATTATTCATTGGCAGCAATAGACTGAAAATGAAGGAAAACATTTGTATAGGACATTTACATTAGGGTCATATATGAATATAGTAGTACTTTAAATAAGCCTGGTATCAGTGTTAATTTTGGCAGCTGTTTTTGATTTAGTCTTTGGATGAAAATGGTTATTAGTTTTAGTCACATTTTAGTCATTCCTATCCTTCATAGTTTTAGTCTAGTTTTAGTCGACGAAAACTCGAAACGTTTTAGTCAACTTTTAGTCGATGAAAAATTACATTTTAATCAACTTTTAGTCAAAATGTGTCTCTCTACTCTCTGAACGCTCCTTGCCCGGGCGATCTCTGTGTCCGCTGCAGCATGTCTGTTAGGCCCCGCCCCCCGCACACAGAGAGACACAGGGAGATCGCTCTTCTGGAGTGAAGAGAGCGGAAATAATGATATTGCAAGTTAGAAACGTAAGATGCATTTTGACAGACGGACACTTGAGGGAAAATATGCTGCATTTTGAACGTCCGATAGTCCACCATTAACACCTTAGTCCCGTCTCGTCTCGTCAACGAAAACTAAATATACATTTCGTCATAGTTTTCGTTATCAAGAATCTATTTTTAGCTCGTCATCGTCTCGTCTTAGTCATGTAAAAAAGGTCGTTGACGGAAATTTTTCGTCATAATTTTCGTTGACGAAATGAACACTGCCTGGTATCTACATTTTTAAAGTGAACTTGAGTCTAAATTGTCTCGATTGGAATCATAAAGGCATGACGCACATAACTTTTGGATGCACAGTTGCTTTGCACAAATAAAGTGTAAAACGACAGTAAAAATCCCCAAATAAATGGCTCCCTGAGAGTTCCTACAGCAAGTTCTGCCTCTAGAGCTGTCAATGCTTGGAAAGCTGCATGAGCTGTGATGCCAATTGTGCCCTGAGAGCTGCAGTACACAAACCTTATTGTTGTGATTGTGTGACAGATTTAAGTTGAAATGTGTTTTAATTGTCTGCCGTCTGCTTCAGAGTAACATATTTCAGTAGAAACGATCACAGGTCAGAAGTCAGGGTCCCCCGGGGTGTGTGAGAGTAAACTGGCTGCGGAGTGACTACTGTATAAAGGGAGGAGGAGGTTTGGCGGCTGGACTGACTGTAATGCAGACCTGCTGAATCAACAGAGCGGGCGGACTCTCCTCTCGGCTTGTTCCCAGTCTAGTGTAATCACACAGCGAGCCCGTGTTGACAGGGGCCCGTGTTTGGCTTGGATGGCTGTGCTGGGGACACAGCGTCTGGCGAGGAGCGTTTTTAGCTTGGGGGGGGGGGGGTTCGGCTACTGCAACACAGATTGACTTTGTGACCTCCTCTCCTAATCGCGCCTTTATTCTCCAGGCAGGAGCAATCAGAGGTTGCGTTTGTCTACCTTTGAACCGATGCGGAAAAACAACTTGTGATACATCCACGGATTGGATTTACTCGTATAAAACGTGGTAAATCCATTGACCCTCTTATCTGCCTCTGTTCTCTGGATTTGCGCTGACAAAACAACAGTAAGTTGTCGAGGCTCTGTTGTGTTTCTGTCTCCCTCTGATGTCCAGAGGGAGATTAGAGAACAAACGCAGCGAGGAATGCGGAGCCACAAGAAGCTCAGGATTATCAAGTGAGTGCAGATGACAGCGAGCAGCAGATATTTGGTAAGGGAACGCTATGGTTCCATATTCACACGCACAAACTCAGACTTTTGATGCTAACGCGCTCAGTCACGATATTTCAACACCCGGATTCCTTCAGTGTACAGCAGCTCCACATGAGTGGGCTGGAGGCATGTGACGGCTGGTTTGTGCAAACTCACACATCGCTCTGGTGCGTGTAGACCCGGTCGAACAGAGCCTCCGGAGCCATCCATTTCACGGGGAGACGACCCTGCAACAACAGAGGCACAACAGAACCGCTCGGTCAGCAGAACCATTCTGTACAGAGCAGACCCAAAAACATGGACCCAAAATCACAGAGTTCGGCTCCGTCCTGCCGTGACACCTTGAACTTCGGCCCGCCTGTCTTATAAGCCACATTCATTTACAAGGTTTAAAGTTTTTAGAATATGAGTGTTTTTTTATAACTCATCCAGCTTGGTAAACTGAACTCTTATGGCCTCTACATGCTTGGAAATCTAATTTATAAATAAAAAGTTTGTTTGTTTTCATTTTATTGAGAATAAATTCCTCTAAAACAGGGGTGTCAAACTACATTTCATCACGGGCCACATCAGCATTATGGTTGCACTCAAAGGGCCGGTTGTAACTTTAAGACTTTATAAAAATTCATATATAAATATTTAATATATATAAACGTATGTATTATATTACATTATTGCCTCTGCATTGGATTATTATGGGATAGGGTAATAATTTCATAATTAACTACATCTGAAAGCAGAAGTCTAGGGCAAATAATTGGAAGTCTCTCCAGTGAGAATGTCACAAAATGATATTTTTTTAAAAGCCAAATTCTGGAAAAAAACTGAAAATGTAAAAAAAAGTGAAATTTTGAAGCACAAATGTCAAATTCTGAACAAAATTCATATTTGAGATGCATTGTGGGACATTTAGTTTATGGGCAACGTGCTTCTGTAAATCGACATGTAACCGTATAATAAACGTATTATATTCTTTCAGAGCTCTTGTGGGGCCACATTAAATGAAGTTGCGGGCCGGATTTGGCCCCCGGGCCTTGAGTTTGACACCCCTGCTCTAAAAGGTTGTTAAAGTTATTGAAGTTCTGATAGACAATCCATTTTCTATAACATAATAATATTAAATCAGACAAACTATTTATTTTAAGAGCTGCAGAATATTTATGGTTTGGCAAAATATCCCTGATCTCACAATCCCTTCTCTTTGTGCAAGGTAAAGCTTAAAATAATTAGCAATTTCTATTTTCTTTCTGACAAAGAGGCATTCAAGAATGACACTCACGTTTGTGGTCTTTTTGTAGTAGTCTATATTGTGCACATCTCTGGCGAGACCGAAGTCGGCAATCTTCATAATGTTGTCCTCTGTCACAAGGACGTTTCTGGCTGCCAAGTCTCTGTGGATACACTGAGGGAGGAAGAAGAAACGCATCAAACACACGGCCACACAACAAATTGCACAGACGCAGACACATTCTCCTACAATTGGAGGAGTGTACCATTGTCTGACAACTCAAACAGCATCCTAACCAACAACCTTGAAACTTTAAACTGTGACATTGTCTCTTTTTAAAGCAGCTGCGCAGTCATTTTCTCCTGTAACTGTTTTTTTATGTTTGAAACTCTGAACTTTAATACAAAAAATTCCTAACCGTGGTTACGACCTTCAAAGTGTTGTCAAAATGTTTCCTCTCATTTTAGCTAACCCTAAACCTAATTCTTGGCTAACCCTAACCATACTTGTTACTCATTCTTATTTAACACAAATAATTTATAACAAGCTAAAATAGATTAAGACAGGTATAACATAAATATAAAAGTTACAGTGCAGTGTAAGATATACATTGTTTTTTTGATTGAAACCACATTTTTTTTCTAATTTCTGTATTTTCTTAGGATTAGCATTCCTCCAGGCACAGATACTCAGCTCACTGAAACAGCATTTGTCTATCAGCATTAGAAAACACAGCGTCATGGCGGCTGACCTTCTGCGAGGCGAGATACTCCATGCCTCGGGCCACCTGGTAGGCGCAGGACACGAGGTCTTTGAAGGTGAGCTGCTCGTCGGGGATCTTACAGGTGTCGAAGGAGTAGTCCATGCCCGGCGGCCGCCTCGCCCGCAGGTACTCCCTCAGGTTGCCCTTAGAGGCGTACTCCACCAGGACGTACAGAGGCCCTGAACGCAACACACAGCACAGGGTCACTTTCAGCACAACACTTCATATATTGTGTTAGTGATCTCCTCTGTAATGCGCTGTGGTCTCACCGTCCTGTGTGCACGCTCCCAGCAGGTTGATAATATTTTTGTGTTTTCCAATCATCTTCATCATCTCCATCTCCGACACCAGGTCTGACAAGTCTTTATCCGTGGCGTCATCTGAGGAAAACAGAAAAGGAATAAAGAACCCATGATGAGGCACTTTATCCACGGGGACAAAGGATAATAAGTCATTCATTGTTGTCATAGGTTCATTCATTGTTTTTTACAGTAAAGCAAAGAAAAGCAGCGCAGAAATCAACAGAAGAAGACAGGAAGTAAACACTAACAGGAACAGAAGAAGAAGACAGACAGGAAGTAAACACTAACAGGAACAGAAGAAGAAGACAGACAGGAAGTAAACACTAACAGGAACAGAAGAAGACAGACAGGAAGTAAACACTAAAAGGAACAGAAGAAGAAGACAGACAGGAAGTAAACATTAACAAGAACACAGTATGGGCTCTGACACGGAAAACTTGAACAGATTTGGACAGTTACAGAAAACCTCAATCAGTGCTGCCGTCATTTTAAGTTATGTTGCTTTTACAATTATTTTATATCAATACAATTATTTGTAAATCAATATTGTGAGTCAAGTCAATGGTTAATTTAATATTTAACCGTGTAATAAGTAGGATAATTTGCAGCGATGCAGTCATTAATGAAACTGCACATTATCCCTTAATTAAGCAGACTTAAGTTTGAGAATAAGCATGACACCAGACAAAGCTAATTCATATGTGTACAAAGATCAAAACAGAGAGGTTCACTAACTAACCTTTCAGCATCTTCACAGCAACATCCAGCGGCTTGTTGGGCTTCTCTTTGTCGATGCCGATAGCCTCGGCCATCACCACCTGCCCGAAGCATCCCTCGCCCAGAGGTTTGCCCAGAGTCAGCCTGAAACACAAGAAAGACATTCTTAGAGCTTTGAGTTCTGCTGCTGGCAGTGAGGAGGGTTTTCTCATATTTATTGTTTATTTCTGGATAAGCGAGGAGGACGGTGTCCTTGATGAAATGCGGCTCAGATGTTTTCACAGCGCAGCGCATGATGTTTTAAGGACAGCTGTGAAATATGTGGCTAGGCAGTGTGAAAAAAGCCACAACGCAAGCACCGTGTTTCTTTCTTTCTAACAGGCGTCTAGACAACAGTGATGAATGTAGATCCGTGGAAGCATTTTTCTTACCGTGTGCGAGGAAACTCCCATTTGGGGTCGGAGGGCAGCTCCAGCTCCGAGACGTTGGCCAGCATCGGTCCGTCGCTGGAGGAGAGGCGGGCGATCCGCACCAGCGGGGTGTTGGAGTTCATGGAGGAGTTAGAATCCAAGGACACCTGCTTGGGTGCAAAAGACAGACTGTTATAGACTCTGAACAGGACGAGATGATGAGTGTTAAAACAAACAGACAGAGGGGAAAGAGGAAGCCTTACACGACCTCTGAATCAAAACTGAATATTTTATTAAAGTATAATAACCTTGATATGAACGTTTAAGTTAGCATCAAATCTTAAACTGGATAGTAGTTTTAATGAGGTAAAAACATATAAATATTTATGATTATGGGTAATATTTCAGTGGATCAAGTCTTTGGATCACAAAATATAACAAAATTCTCAGTTTTTCTATGAATATGCCAAGATTATCTTATTCAATACAAGTATATGAAAAATACTTATTTTAAAGTTAATCTAATGCCATTGCATTTTTCCATTTTTTTTTAAAAGTCTTATTGGTTTTATAAGGGGCCAATAACCCAGAAATTGAAATAATAACTAAAACAACATTTTTTAAATAGTAAAATATTAACGTTTTTGAATGTTTTGAGTTAACCTCCATTTAAACTTCAACAAGTAATCACATTTAAAAACTGCATTAATTATTGAGTAACTTTAAGATGGAATGATTTTTCGGTAATGACAGACTGCAAACGTCCCGTATCTCAGGACCAAAGTCAGAGCTCATTCGGCAGCTCTGAGTTTTTCTGAGAAACAGCCTCTGACACTGGCGGTGACTTTTACAAACAGCCGGCCCGTGGCAGTGCAGGAGGAAGCAGGCGGAAACAAAGACGAATGAAGGAGGGAGCAGAGGTGGGCGAGCGTGAGGTGGCATGGACGTCTCCATCCATCAGCCAGAGCCATTTCCAAACTGCTGCCAAGCCCGCGGGCCCGTCATCCCACCACCATTTATCTGACTGCTGAGGGGGGTTGAGGGGGGGGGGGGGGGGAGGACTTTTGATGAATCTGTTTGTGTCTGCCAGCTTGGCCGCTTCAGGTGGGGTCCTCAAACAAACATGTCCACTTACCAGACCCCTTCGTAAACTTCTCGGAGCAAAATGAGAAAAATGCTGTGAAGCTTAAACAAAAAACAGCCCGACCACAGTTTTCAGAGGCATGAAAAGTAATATCTGATAGAACATGCCAGGGGGTTTATGGGAGATTTACTTAGAGTTATGAAAAAGAAAGGAGAGAACCGGGAGATTAGCTTTACAAAAACGAAGCAAAGATTACAGAGAAATGCAATAAGGCCTTTCAATGCACTACCTTATAAGAGCATGTATATAAAGGTAGAGGAACAGAACGATTTAGAGGTTACAATTAGAGCGTCTTACAGTACCAACTATAACCTGCTGTTATGGAAGGTATAATAAGAAATATGGTTTATTTTTAAACTTTCCAGCTAAATCCTGACTTGTAACCGCCGTGTTTGTTTTCCAAGAACTGTGTTATGACTTTCAGGTACTATTTTCCTTTCTAAAAATTGATCTTTTTGCAATTTGAGGAGCACAACCCTTCAATTATGGAGCAGGAAAGCTGGAGCTCACACAGAACAACACAGTGACTGAGAGACTCCAGCAGGGTGGAGCAGGGTGGAGAAACTCGTTATATGCATCCACAGTGCAAATGCGAGATAGACGACTTTCTGGATCACAAAGGTTGCAAGAACCCAAAGAAAGAGTCACTCTGCACTGCCTGAAGACGTTATGTTTTCACACTGTACCGCATGCGTTTGAATGTAATTTAAAACTGTAATTACTTTGCTAACTAATATTGTTAATAGTATACAGCGTTGACATTTTCTCAGTTGTAGGCTGGCCTGCAAATAAAATATGTGTTTTAATATTCTGATTCAATAGAGATAGAGTTTATTTTCTATTTAGTGTAATTTTCAATTCAAGTGCAATACACTTGTCTAGATGCTGCTGTGACAAAATCATTTCCCAAATTGGGATCAATAGAGTATATTTAATCCAATCTATAAAACAGCGATCAGTGGCACAGATGAAAGTCCTTTGATGAGAGTTAAGCGCATTGAATAGAGGTGAAGATGAGGATGAAGGTTCATTCATTAATGTGGAGAGCCAGATAAGGATCTCCAGCCAGATTTTAAAAAGCACTTTGCCTTTGTTGGACATTTCCTAAAATCCTCAAGACTTTCGTTTATTTCCTATTTTGGTTTTGAACAGGCCTCGATTTATCTTGTCCTAGTTCTGTTTGGACTTGGATTTGACTCGGATTTGATCGCGGTTCATCCTGAACTCCCGAGAGACAATGCCGTGAAGCCTTCTGCCGTCTGTGGCGATGCAGCTGCTCCACTTGATGTTTCTCGCCAAACAGTTGAGGGCCGAGTGTGCATTACAAGGAGTGAAATCTAAAACTAACACTGACAGTCACACGAGGGCATAAATACCCCTGAGCTGAATCTGCTCCAAAATAAATGTGAACACATGTCAGCAGAGTGATGCCTTCCAGCGTCCGCACAACGTCATCAAACCAGAGGCAGATAGACGCACAATAACGTTCTCGATTTATACTCTGAGCTTGGGTGAGTCCTGAGCTGTACGCCATTCTTCTTGGAGAATTACCGAGATTTCAAAGACAGAAATTGCAAAAAGACACTCTTACATTACATGTTGTTAGACACTTTTATCCAAAGCGACTTACATACTCAATACTGTGGGCAATCCCCACAGGAGCAATTTGGGGTGAAGTGTCTCAGGGACACAACGACATGCTGACTGCAGTGGGGTTTGAACCTGACCCCCTGATCCCAACGACAACACTCAACCCACTGCACCACACGCCTCTTCTGCAGGTTTCTCAACGTGGCACTGATATACTTACTGACTAATATTACTTTATATTTCCACAACTCTCCATAGCTATTTCCTGGTGCTTCCTTGGGTTAAATATGTTACTCATTCCCTGACTATTAAAGTAATCTAGATGTTGCTGCTGAAAACAGCATCTGATGCAATGTGAGTGTTAAACAGGGTCCTGCACTGTCTTGAATTGTTAAGGGAATATGTTTAGTGGGAGAAGAAGGCCTAATTTGCTCATTATTTCATCTTACTGGAGCAAAGTTATTACAAGTTAAGCTAAAAGCTAAACTAAACAGACAGGTAGAAAAAGAGGGGGGAAAGTGTGTTCGAATCTTGTATCTACTTTCTGTTACCTGTCTCTTAAGGGGGAACTTTGACAGTTTCTGCACGGGTGGCGTTGGCAGCGTCTTCTGTGTCGTCATCCTCATGCGGCAAAGCACGACGATGACCAAGGCGAGGATGAAGAGCACGCAGCCCGTCACGTAGATGAGGATGTCTGCGTAGTAGTCCTCCTTTTCAGCGCTAACTGCTTTGGCAGGAGGAGGTCAGAAACATGGGATGTCAGAAAAAATACAAGCACTGAATAATGCTAACAACTTTTCTTACACTTTTGTTATCCAAATCTAACCTTAGCAAAAATGACTTCTTATTGATTGAAGAGAAATGTTGCTTTGCTTAGTAGCACACTTCACAACGTTATTTATTTTGTATGAATAAGATCTATAAATCAAACAGTAACAGATCAGTCAGCTTGTAGTTTCATTCTGCAGCAGGTAATTGCACCTGTGAAATGCTTCTTCGCAGGGAGGTAATTACTGTGTTGAACATCTCACAAAACAAAAATGTCTTTAAATTGCCTCGAGACATTTAAACAGATGATCTGCCCCGATTAAAAAGCTCCTTTCAATGGAGGCTAGATTGCATGTTCTGCTCATGCAATGAAAGGGGGCAATGACACAGTTCTAGTGCGTTTAAAGTGCGCCAACAAGTAACAATCTTTCATAATGTACGATAATTACATCAAAAAATGAACGATTGTGCTACTGAGAAAAGCAAAAGCAAAGTACAGTAGCAATCACAATTTCAGGGAGTTTTTAAACATTTAAGGTGGAAGAAATGGACGACAAAAGACCCGCGGAGAGAAGAGGAATATACCTGGAATCACCGTCAGCCAGGCAGAGTGGTAAGCATAGCCGATAGAGTTCCCTGCCAGACAAGTGTACTCGCCAGCATCCTCAAAAGACACATTGCTCAAGAAGAGAACCTCTAGCTCCTTATCTGTAGTGTTAATACCGGCCGTCTGTGGAGGATCAGAGAGGGGGTAAAAAGATGGAAGGAGAGAAGAAAGAGAAGAGATATCATGAGCCCAAAGCTTCTTAGAGGAAACACCAAATACACCCTGCAGGAAAGGACACGAGTACGGATTTGAAGGCAGTGCTGCTTTTCTTCTGCTGACACCAACACCTGAAAAACACCCAAGCTGCACCGTCACCAAGCTGCGAAAAAAGCCTGCTGGTTTAATCTAAATCCACACACAACCTGAAAGTTGTCACACTGCGAAACATATCCTTCTCATCAAAGTAGTCTTTTAAGATCTGAAAATGAAAATTTTTGACATTGCAGCAAGAAAAGTTTTGAATTAACTAGTTCCAAGAATTTGAAACAATGTGCTTTATTCTGGCTTCTTACAAGAAACTGGTAAAAAGGTTTTGTAACATGTTGAATTATATTGAAAACTGTTTTTGATACTCTTACCCCAATGCCAGATGTTATCCCTTATTTAGGAAACCATTCATTTAACTCTCACTATCAAAACAATACTTATTTAAGACGTTACACTTTGCAACAGACAATGGAGATTGATAGTTTTCTCTTATTTGCTGCTTAAACACGAGTGAGTTCAAATCAAACCAGCTTAAATTCTGCCTGGCACCAAAGCAAAGCAGATCCCTTCACCAGCAATTACGGCAGCTCAATGGTGTAACGGCAACATCAAACTTGGAATATAAGATGTTATTTTTCAATGTTTTTTAGCTATATGCATTTTTATCTTTTAAACTTTAAGTCTTTTCTTCTAGGAGTACCTCAAGGATCGACTCTGGGCCTATTGCTTTTATGTAAAATGGAATTGAAATGAACTACCGTGAATAGCTTGTCCAAGATTTTTGTTCACTTACATAAGAAATAATATAAACATTTTTAAGCTTAACAAACATATGTTTAGTATTAAAAGGACAAACACTTACAACCACTAAAGACACAGTATGATCAATTATAAATAACCTTGAAATTACTCTAAAATGAAGTCCCTGCTGTTGTGGCTTTTCCCCTTTGACTAATGGTTAGTGCGATGACCAGTGGGGGAGTTTCAAACCAGTGTCTGATGTGGCTTTGTAGGGGGTTTGGTGGTGGGGGTCTCTTACTCCCAAGGCCTCAGTAATGAACAGTGACATCCAGACCCAGTCATGAATCAGAGTCCTGCTGCAGTCTCTCATATAAGGGCACATTAATACAACTGGAGAATGCACTCTCAGTGAAATCAATACCACTGTGTGTTTGGTTTTTGAGTCTTTTTTTTTTTACATGGGGTTTTATATATGCATGTGTGTGTAAAAGTGGAGGGTCGGAGAGCGGGAGACTTTTTTTTTGTCGCAGTAATTTAAAAGGTGTGTTTGTTATTGATCGGGGAGGAAGACAAAGTGGCACTGGATGTTAAAATGGATCGGAGCTACTAACTAACAGAATGGGAGAATATAAACTTAATTCCTAGCAGAGGAAATAGTGTGTGTGTGTGTGTGTGTATGTGTGTGTCAGTTAGCTCAAGTGTGTGTAGATCTGTTTTTTTTTTGTCGCAGTGATTAAAAAAGGTGTGTTTTCTTATTGATCTGGGATGTTAAAGGGGATACTAACTAACACAATGTGAGCATATAAACTCAAATCCCAGCAGGGCAATGTGCGTGTGTATGTGTGTATGTGTGTGTGTGTGTGTGTGTTGTGCTATTAGCAAGCCAGTAAGTCTATCAAACCCACAACCGAGAAGAGCCCCGCAGAGAGGAGGAGACACAGCATAGCATCAAATGTGCTGAGGTGGCAGTCCTTCGGAGTTCAGGATTTACCTGGTTTGTGCACCATGAGCCAGAAAGCGTTTTCCGACCTGCCTACAAAGTTTGAGGCGCGACACCAGTACTTCCCGGCATTTCCCTCTGTCACGTTGGACAGTTTCAACTTACTGTGGGCCTCAGTTTGTCTACTGTCAAAACTCTGTAAAGGGAAAATGCAGAGGCACGGTGAGGCCTTTACAGCAAATTCCTGCAAGAACACATGTAGAGAACATAGATGCAAACCTGGAGAAAACACACACACACATATATACACACACAGTGCCAGTTTGCGAGCTTAAAAGCATGAAACACATACACACCATCTAACTGTCTATTTGGAGATTAAAGGCATTACAATATGTCAATCTCACCGAAACGTGTGCGCTACGTTCCTTAACACACACTTAGACTTGCTCACACACACATTGCTCGTGACAGGCACTCCGTTAGAGAAACTGCAGATGAATAATTAAACGGGCTAAGCACATAAAGGAGAAAACATATCATGTTTTATGGTTGCTTAATGAACATCCAGGGCTCGGCTCCAGACGCCCTCCCTCTCCCCTCCCCACGCTGGGCCGAGCCGCTAATCGTTAACTCTTTTTCCAGGCATCAAAAGAGCGATTCAGGCATTTCTCAAAAAATATAAAATCATGCATGACCCCCCCCCCAGCTGTATTTAAGTTATACGGTGTATGCCACACATGAGATGTCGCTGAGAGTCTGAATGAAATGTGGTGAGAGTGTAGAGAGAGGCACACACAGATCTCAGTAAATACTGTTTCAATTATGTGGTAGTCGAAAATAGAGCGTGGAGCCGCGGTCTAGGCTTGCTTTCCCCCCCCCTCTTTCTCTCGGCCTGTCTCCCTCCTCCTCTTTCTCCCCGTCTCTCCTCCCTCATTTCTCTCTTGTTTGAGTCACTTTTTTTTTTTTAAAGTCGCGACGGTAATCTGATCTAGAAAACATTTGAATAACACTGTCAACAGGGCTGATGACGTCCTGATCACTTTTTTACTTAGAAGCTTTATCAAAAGGATATTTACTTTAATGTAAGTGTTTAATAGCTCATTCTGGTAGTTTAATTTAGCTAAATACTGTGAATAAGAGCCTTTTAAAGGAAAAGTTAAACATTTAATTAGTGTGCTTTAGAGGTGCTGCTATATTTTTTTACCTTTAGTCAGATCCAGGATAGCTTTTTTCAGTTCCTATGCTACGCTAAGCTAACTGACTGTCAGCTACCATGGCAATACACTTGATTAAACATATTTCAAACTGTTCCTTAGAGTTGAGGTGGTTCCTCTAACGCCATGTTTAATGTGTTTTCCTTGATATATTTCACACAAATAACCTTCTACTTTGGTGCCAACCGTTCACATTATAAATATATTTTAAATTCTTTCTAGTAAATGATTTTCTGAAACAGATTATGAAGCCAGGATCTGCTGGGGCGATGAGCGTCCCTTGTGCGCATGAAGGTTATTAATTAAGGCTTCAACAGCAAAATAATCCATCATTGATGCAGCCAGGTGTATAACTGAGTACTCTCTTCTACCTTGATATCATTATTTTTTAACTCGCTTCAAGTCACTGCTGAATAAAGTAAACCTTTGTTTGAAAGCTCAATCCATCTTTTAGGAATAGATGTTATGTTGCTGATTTCATGTCTCCTGCTTCTCTCCCTTTGTTATTTTTCTGTCTCTTTCTCCCTGCTCGTGTTTCTGTTTCACCCCTTCTTATTTATTTCTCTCTCATTCCTTCTGTCTCTGCCTCTCCATCTTTACCCACCGCTCTGTCCCACATTCCCTCTCCCTGCTGACTTTGCCCTTCCTTGTATTCCTTCACTCATTTTTTCCATGGCTTTTTTGGGTGCCTCTTCCCTCTCTCCTCCTCCTCCTCCTCCTCCTCCTCAAACCACGCGACGCAGCACATCTGACGGCAGCGCCGGTTAACAGAGCCCGTCTCTCTCCCTGTGTTGCCGCCACCACGGCAGTTAACTTAGTCCAAACCAGATGTTTGTTTTATTCCCTCGCTCTCTTGAGAGGCAAAAAATAAGAAGAAGGGAGACGCAAAATAAGAAAGCAAAAGGCCTTTTTTTCGATGGGAGTCTTCCTCTGTTCACCCCAAATAAAATAAAAACACGCCTCGCAGTGGGTTTAGGGTGGTGTCCTCCTCGGTGAGGAATGCTTTCTACTCTATTCTTGAACACCAACACAGCCTGAAGAGGTGATGAGACCTCCAGCAGTTTCTCTTTAGCAGGAGCAAGCCCTCCTAAGTCTATCTGTCGCCTTCCCCACTGTGTTTATTTAACCTTTATTTCACAAGGGAGTGCTTGGGATTGAGAAATGCCTTTTAAAAAGGGCAACAAGATGCAGCTCCAGGACAACCTTAGAGGCTGCAGACAAACAAAACATATATGATAAAACATCTGAAAAGTTTACCCAAAAACACTTATCAGATTAATGCAAAATCAATATATAGATAAAGGTCAGATAGAGAAACTCTTTCGCAAACTTGTGTATGTATAATTGAAGAGTTCATTCTAGGAAAAAGTGAACACATCGGGTTCAATCAACAACACCAATCAATCGAAGTTGATTGAAGCAGGTCTAGCCTAAAAATGTGACCTTTAACGAGGATTAAGGCTTTTTTAAGGGTGCTCCTATATCATAAATGTTAGCTTTTGTTTGTTTTGTCTTCTGACATTTTCCTTCTTTAGTTTGCCCTTTGGCTAATCTTGCAGAAAATCGAAATAAAGCTGTTTATGTTTTTGTTTCTCCTATTATTTGTTTTTAAATCCAATAAGTAAAGTTCAGGACTTTTAACGTAACACATATCTGATGAAATACATTTTTAAGAAATGTAAATATATACAATTATTGACATTTATCATGTTGGTAATCCTGTTGTGGTCCTGCTATGGAAATCAAAAGAAAAAATTCCAGCTTTAATGAATGAATTTAATTTAATCTACATAAACGAGTTGCCTACATTATTCAGGACAGTGCTGCAAGTAGGTGTTAAAATGCATGATCTCCTGTCAAAACTGAAGCAGTGCAGGTGCCACGATCAGAAAATCTGTAGTGTGCTTTACGGTCATGTTTTTTGGTTAATGAGTGAACGTTTTCTCTATACAGTATGCTGCAGTAAGTGCAGGTGAGGCTTTTCCTTCAAGCTCTTCAATTATACGCTGCAGTGAAAAGAGCCTGCGGGCCCTGCAGACCCTCCTACTGTAAAACTCATTACATGAGACATTTAGGAGGGATTAATGATGAGTGAAATTATCATAAAGTGCTGCTGTGCTCCCGGCCGGTGCTCATTAGAGGTGTGTGCCGCAGACCCACCTTCAGGATGTTGACGTAGGGAACGCCGTCGGTGCCGTAGCGGCTGCCGTTGACCTCGATGTGTTTGAGCCACTGGATGTGCGGCTGGGCGTCGCTGTACACCTTACAGTGAAACTCCACGTTGCTGCCCACCACCACCGACTGATTGGCTGGGAGGCCGGCCTGCAGGATGGGTCTGTGGGGGGAGCGCTCTGTTGGAGAAAGCACGGAGTCATTAGTCATGCTTGGGAGTTATGCTGTAGAAACTTCTCTCTGGTGTGTTTTTAGCGCATTTTAATGTATTCCTTGTTTACAGAAGCAGAGTAAATGAGTGAGGGCTGTTTACCGAGCACATCCAGTTGGTAGGTGTGGGTGATGGCGCCGTACTTGTTCTGCACCACACAGGTGTAGTTTCCCCGGTCTGACGGCACGGCGCTCTCCATCACCAGACTCCACTGCTGGTGTCTCAGCTGAGGGGGGGCAGAGAGGAGGGGAGATGTCAGGATTTGTTGTCATAACACAGATTGATGTGTGAGGACACGGAGCTCTTTTTTCAATAAATCTCAGGGTAAGCTTCGTGTGTCCGGACTGATAGAAGACTGCTTATTATTCCATCTATGATAACATGCAGTATCAAGTCAAGGTTATTAATAAGATTAGATCAGATGTACTTTATTTATCCTGTGTTACAGCAGCATGTAAAAAATACATTGCACATGAATAAAAAATAACATTAAAGAAGCTAGAAAGATATCAATCTATAGAGTACGTAATATAAAAATAAACTGTAAGAAATATACAGAATAAGTCAGAAATATACATTGAATACATTTTGGGATTTATAATCCTTAACAAGAATAACACGGGAGCAGTTTGGAAGATTAGGAAATATGCAACCAAGATACACTTAGCAGATCCAGATCAATACTGTACACTAATTCACAAGATGAAGCTGAAATCTTTCAGAAACAAATGAGCACTCTTTCCACAAAGAAAAACCAGTATAACAACTTAAACTCTCTGTAATAATTGTGTACTGGTTGACGCAGGATAGACGTGATGAGCAGAAAACATGGTCAACGTCTTGATGGGAAACATCTCGGTGTGCCCACAGACAACTGAGATCAAAAGGATTCAGTGTGGAGAGGAAAGTCCACTCTGGATCAGATTTGATAAGAAATCATTTTACCCTGAAGAAATGTGACAGGATCTATTCAGTAATTCTCAATATGAAAGATTGCTCAACACGCTGTAATACAAAGATGGACAGGAGCCTTAAAAAAGAATGCCAAATATTTGATTTAAACTAATTCATATAAAAAAAAATACTCATATGGGATTATGCTGATGAAAAACAGCTCAGAAAGTCTCTTGAAATCATTTCCATCAGTGATGGCAGGCAGCCTTTTCTTTCTTCTTCTGCACCTCTAAAATTGGTTCCACTGTGCCAGTCAAGAGCAATCCTCTCCCGGAGAGTCGATGGGTACATTTTGTGTAGTAATTGAAAGCAGGTGTGGCAGCAGAAACAGACAGATAATAACTTGACAGATTCAGAAGCTGCTCCGAGGCAGAGAGGGAGCAGCACAGCACAGCGAGAACACAGAACCTGCTACGCATCGCTGCTGGCAGAGTCTCCGCGGGCCGACCTCCACGGCGTGAGTGGAAACATGCAGACGCTCACTGCTGCGAGACAAGCGTGGAGTGAACTCCTCCGAAAGAGGTCAGAATGACTAAAGACGGGAGTGAGTGATGTCAACAAAGAGGCTTTTCAGGGTGGAACACTTAACATCACCTGCGTAGGAAAATGTGCTGACGCAGAGTGTTTTCTCAAACGTTTAACCCCACGCGTTTAGGTAGGAGGCCAGCCATTCACAGAACGTATATATTTGTAGGTTACGTCCCCCCCCCTCCTTCTTTTTCTCCCTCTGTCTTACAGTACACACTCCTTAACTCTCTCTTGGAGGCACATGCGGAAAATAGTGTAACAGTGTAAATATTATGCCTGTGTGTGCTTTCTGCAGTTGCATGGTAACGTTGAGCAGGCAGCCCGCTCCACGCTGGCAAATGGTTTTTGAGAGCGGCTGGCTCCACCCAGTCTACCCCTCTCAGAGCCGGGGAGTCAAACTGAAGTCAATGGCGGCTCTCATGAGCAGATGAGTGACGCCTTATGCTGCGGTCGCTGAGCCCGAGGAGAGGGGGGGAGGCGAGAAAAGAGGCGACGTGTGAGGAGGGAAGAAGGTGGTAAAATACGAGCTGAAGTCGATGCTCTTTAGAGGCCAGGACCACCAACAGAAACAGAGAGAGACTGTGATCAGAGTTATGGTTTATTTAGGCCTCCATATCATAACAAAACCTCATTCACTGACAACTTAAAGAAGGGAAAGTACATTCACTTCTTCTGAGGCGCTTGCCTATCCAACTTCTTCTGACAGCTGTACTAACTGTGCAGATTCTGATTTACAGTAAATTAAACTTCTTATGACTATGGTTGCTGTCAGGAAATAAATCTTCTTTGTTGCTACTCATAGTGTCACAACCTGTTTTAGCTCAATGTATTTCTAATACAATCTGCAGAGGAGTATTTCATACTAAAAACAAATCTGCAACAGGAAAGACCCCAAAACAGAGCTTCAAAATGTATCCGGGCACATTTTATTGCTGTTTTTTTTATATTAACAGTTGTTAAAATTTGCATACCAGCCAAAAGTAATAAGCAATTGTTGATGCTTTTTGTCTTAGACTTGTTGTTAACTTATCTTAAAGCAAGACTATGCAAGGTTTAATAGAAAAAACAACAAAACTTTATATAAAAGTTGTAATCATAAGCCATTATTATGTTATATCTGTCACACACGGGAACAGTGGCCACTTTCAGCAAAGTTTCATTGTCCTGTTATTTCCCCAATTTGGACTATTACTGCCTCCACTATCACAGCTGCTCAAAGTGTTGATAACCACTAGAGAAAGGTATTCCTCCACTGCACATTCACCCAAATGGAATCACATGTGTGTAGTAGTTATTAACTTTGAGTGACATTTCCAATCGTATTCCCCTCTGTCTTTCCCCTGACACATTTAATAATTTTCTGCATACATGCCACTTGCTTTAATGGCCATGTTACATTGGCTAACCCCTGTTGAACCTGCAGCATTAGTCCCCGAACGTGATAATCCTATCCCATCCAATCATGCCAGATTCCAAACAGAATTAAATTATTAAAGGAGCTTACGTTAGAGTCATACGAGGCTTTAAAGGTTTTAGGGCTTTGGCTGTGAACCTACAGAAGGGCACGAGCCATGGGAATGGACAGGGGAGTTTGATACTGCAAAAAGTATTTGCTCAGGGGAGAAAGGAACAAAGAGCAGATTTGGATTTGCATTGATTTATGATGCATGATATATCTTGAAACAAATGCATTTATCCGCTTCTTTTAAGATTTGCTCTTGCCTTACTGAAGCTGCCAGAGAAGTTAGCTCACCCTATTGGCAGATTCTTTCATTTATGTTAATCATAAAAAGAATTCACGACTCGACTGCCAGCTTAAATGGTTCATACGCATGCAGACATTTTATTTTTTGCAGTGTCTGGGAAAACACAGGAAGCTCTGCTCTCTTTATAGTCCGAACCCTCCGTCTTCACCTCGCAAAATAGCCCTGTCAGAACCAGTTACCAGAATTTATGACTGTGTCAGAGCGGAGCAGCGGCCGGATCTGCGCTCCCGTCTAATTTGACCTACGGAGAAAGAGGAAATAGATAGAAGAGACCCTAGGGGCTGGCTATTAACGCTGGTAAAGTTTGTGAGTCTATTGACTGGGGTTGGCTCTACCTGGCATTGCATCAACAAAGATGAGAAGACCGTAAAATGTGGAGTGTGCAGCAGAAAACCAAATAAACAAGGTAATCTGTCTTTTGATAACTCTAGTGTATTTGGGTAAAACGACAGGGGAGAAAGGTGAAGGACGATGGAAGTGATAGAATTTAAAAAAGAGTCCAAAAATAATCTTGCAAAGTGTAGTAATTCCTACACGGCCTACAGAGACTCACAATCAAGGCTGTGTTAAAACCTGGCACGGTAAAACAAGGATTTAAAGTGCTTAAAGTCTTAAAAAGTAACAGTGTGAAGCCAGTTAAAGAGGCCTGCCTTGGAAACCTGTCAACATGGGGTTTGAAAAATCATTTAAGCGCTGGGTTAGAAGATACACAATAATTACATTGTCAACTTTTGTCCCGCTTTGTGCCGCCGCAGTTTAGCATGAACACAATCAAATCCCTTGCAGCATACGTGGCAGCATACAACAGCATTGGCTTTGGCTGTCAAAGACTCAGGCCTGTTCAATGGGCTGGAGACACGCCCCTCTCCCCACCTCCCATCTGATGGCTCAATAGAGAGGTGCACTTTGACCTCTAGGCCCTGCCCCTCTATAACGGAGGAGGCTTGGAGCACCACAGTTGTCTGGGGAAGAAGCACAAAGCTCCGGCACATCGCCCTGATGGAATTTAATTTCCAATTTTACCAATGAGCCGCACATCCTATTAACCGTGTCATTTAGTTTCAACAAACGTACCGTTCAGTTCTCCGTGTTGCATTTCAAAAGACTTACAAAGCATGTAAGATAGAAGCGAATGTCTTAACAACCTTTAGCGTGGTGATGGGAAAACATATACTCAGAAGACATTAGTGCACAGCTAGTGTAAAGCTGGATAATCTGAGGATTTGTCTGATTCAAATTTGTAGGAGGTATATTTATACAACTATGTACTATACACTTTGCTGTTAATCTCTTTCAAAACTACAAGCATTTTTCCCACGATTATACAAGCCACTGAAATGTTTTCGCTGGGAAGCTGAAAAAAACAAACAGTATATATAGATGACATAAATATTATAATACAATATTACAAACATATATAAATAGATTTAAGAAACAGGCTGAATCAAGGAGAGGTCACGGTTAAATGTGGCTTGTTCTTGGACAACTTTAGGTTCCATATGCCTTACATAATACTTTCCTTTGAGTTAAAGCAGGTGAAAAAGTATTAAAACTGAAAACAAAGCCGAGTTACTGAGTGACTTATTTTCACCACTTTCTATGCAGCACCTGTCATTGAAAGGTCCTTAAAAACTCCTTTACACAAAGAAAATACTACTCAATATAAAGCAATTGGATCTGGTGAGACTATATATATACTGTATATCCTATTTCACACATGTTTTAGCCCTGTACATGAGACTAAACCCCTTGTTGAAAGTGATGTATTCAAGGAACAACGAGGAACACAGTGCATCCTCAGAAAGGCCACTTTAAGGCACTCCAGAAAGAAGGTGGGTAATGGACCCTAATGGTCCGCTCAGTAAGTAACTTTCCCTCACACTGATCTGAAGGCACTCAGAGTCAACGACACACTGTGCTGAATGGAGAGGACTCACTTCTGCTGCAGCATGGATCAGTTAGTGAGTCACTTAAAGCCACACACACTGTCCCAGCCCTGAGGGACGCCTGACAAATCATCCCATCACCAATCTTTAAAAAATCTGACACGGTGCACTTCATTCAGAAATTAACCATGCCTGTCAAATCAAAAATGATCTTGTCATTTCCATACGGCTGCCAGAGGAAGACAGCTTCACCTTGAGGACCCTGTTGGAGGAATAGAGTCTTTAGAAGGCCATTGTCAGGCTGTCAGGACTCTGGAAGCCCCCCGTCTTCCTCCAGCCCTGCAAGATGAACTCATCACAGGAAGATGAGAGGAGGGGCGATGAGGGCAGGGACACGGCGACACTGAATGCATCACAGAAAATGTCTTCTCTGACAACAGATCGCTTTCTGTCTAACACAATGACGATTCAATCTGCAGCCGTGTTTGAATACTTAATACAAACTGATCTTGAGGTATCTTTTCGCCTAAAGTGACCAACCATGAGTTGGAGTCTGAAAAAATAAAGCATCTAGTGAACAAAAAATGCAATCTATGTTTCCTGCAGCTTCCACAGCACTTTTCGAATAATGTCAGAAATAATCCCAGATGGCAGAACATTTGAGCAGCAGCCGTCTTGTCTTTAAGGACAAAGACAGAAGAGCAAAAGGGTCATCTACAGAAAGGAATGAATAATCAAGACGCCACACAGTGCACAGTGTGACTGACAGGTGCTCTCTGGGAAAGGCAGTGCACGAATACTCACAACAGGATCTAAATCATAACCATGTTAAAAATGAGGTGACAATGTAATGGTCTTAGGCACATCACTCAACCTAATGTGACTTGATTTTCAGCCTGTGCATTTACTGATGAGTTTTGAAGAAATACTTTTTAAATGATTGAGCACCATTGCCAACATTTCCTTCACTTCCATTGTTCCGGACTAATTTCCTGCAGGGTGGTGGAGCTTGGGCTAGCAGAGGTTGAGACGTCGGGGTGGGTGAAGCCGTTACCCCTGACCCCTCTGAAGCCAGGCCATGTCGGGGGCTTGTCTGTCACCCAGCACCCCGATTCTATTGAGGGTGACCTCTGTTCACCTCCCTCAAGGCCAACAGCGGCCACAGGGTGTATGGATGACTGGAGAGGGGGGGGTTGGGGTAACATCTCGATAAATACACAGAAGGAATGTCTCAATAACTGCCACCTCCAGTCTTACATCTTCATCAATTTGAGACATGATGCATGTGCAGGAATTTGTTAAAGAAACGCTGTTGCTAATGCAGTGATTTGTAGTTATTAGACTCTGAAACACATATATCTAAAAAACGAGAAGATTTTCTTTATGTAAGATTAAGCTTTAAGCTAAAATCGTATCACTTAAACATTGCATAAGGATGTCCGAAGCTACAGCAATGTTAAGTAAAGTTAAGGCGCTTAGAAGCATTAAGTATGCAAGTTATAAAAAAGCTAAATGTACTGAAAGTTAATTAAAAGTCCCAGTTTTGCATGTCCGCAAATTCAGGTAGGTATTTAAAGAACGTTTATTATTTGGTGATTTAGGAAAAACTGACCCCTTGACCCTTATCCATACCAAAAATAAGACAAGTAAATTTAGGGGGACCATGTGTTTCTGCATGAAGAGCAACAAGGCAAAAACATTTTAGTTGAGAGTCTGATTGTGTGCAGAAAAGCAAATGATAATGAAATTAAAACATATTGACATAGCAGCAGTAACAAAGATCTCTCCGAATCGATCACCAAGCTGACATACAGAAACAAATATATAATGTCCCAATAGGTTGGACACCAAAATACTTTACGGCACCATTAGAGTGCCATCACTTTCAGCATGGGTGGCCACAGTGGGAACTAAACCCACAGTACAGTCGGTGCTAGGCTCGACCCGCTGAGCTATACAGAGCGGGAAATGTACAGGAATTTGTTTCGGCGGCTTGGTGACAACTTAGTGTCAGAGCTCACACTGACAACACCGTTACAAGGCCAACTGGACCTCACGTACGCTGTAAAGGCTTACCGTGGATAGTCAGCTATATCGCTCGCTAATTATACATGTAACGTCCCATAGGATAGCATGTGTGTATGAAATAGCTACTGCTGCAGAGAGAAATAAACAAGCACTCTTGAGACATTATGCTGACATTAAAATATCTTAATACTGCATCAGTTATATCTTTATCATGTCCTTTAATGCGTCATTGGTGAGTCATTTTCCATGCTAAAAAGACCTCTTTAGGATTAAAGTCAGTGATTTGGTGAACAGATTGAATAAAGGGCTCTGATTGGTCAGTCTGGGATTAATCCAATGCTAACAATGCAGCTGCAAACTTTATCATCAGCAAATTCACGCATACTTCACATGCTAAAAGTTACTGTCAAGGAGCCACTCCAGAGTCCTGAGGGCTGGTGACAGGTGTGTGTGTGTGTGTGTGTGTGTGTGTGTGTGTGTGTGTGTGTGTGTGTGTGTGTGTGTGTGTGTACATTTGTGTGTGTATGTGTGTGTGAGAGTGGGGACAGAGGGAGGGAGACAACTGCTGTTGGTCTGCTGGGAGCAGATGTTGGAGATCTCTGTAAACTGTTAATAGCTGCAGGATCTCATTACATTTAACTCTTTAAATGCCAAACCTCCACTGGGGAGAAAGCATATCTCAGCGCCCTAACAACCAGCCTGACACACACTCTTTGCTCTGCTGGAGTAAGAAGATGTCGTTTTCATATCAGAGGATACAAACTCACTACTTGCTGCTTATTGTCTTTATAAAAGCTTAACCTGACTCAACAGTGCAAACATGTTTTGAATGCAAACAGACCAATGTTTGCACTAAAAGTGTGTACAAATAAGTACGGGTATTTCTCTCCCCTCATCAATATTTAATTAAGATCATGTAAGGAATAGATAGAAGGCAGAAAAAGACACATGACCCTGGAAGGTTTTACATCTCCGGGCATCATTTTTGAACTTATACATCATTATGTTTCAGTTTATTTTGAACCAAAACACACGTTTTGACTGTTTGAATTCCGATGTTCTTACCGTACTAAATTGGTCTTTTAATCCCGCAGCTCAGGGCCATTAAACGAACACAAAAGTAAACCAAGCCCTGTTACTTTAAGCAGTGCCATTCCACATGAGAGCCCAGTGTTTAGAGTGAATCCGATGACAAAACCGAGTACAACAGCTGTTTGCAGCACTGCATTACTGTCAACATCCAGCTATCACGCGAACACGCATCTCAGTACCTCTCTGTCTCCAGCACAGCAGTTTGACCCCTTCAATTTGTTTAGCTCAGTTTAGCCAGGGCTAAGAGCTTCCTGAGTCCTGCTGGGGGCATCCATCCCCGCGGTGCGTTCACTGACCTTTATTTTCCGTGAGAAGATTTCAGAGCATGAGGGCTCTTTCAGTCCTTTGCTTCACACTTCTCCAGTTATAGCAATTCAGGCCAGGGAGCATTGCAACACTCTCACTGATCGACTGATAGACACACAGCAGCTCCACTGGACGAGCGGGGGATTAAGATGCCTTGCTTAAAGGCACTGATGGTCGCTCAACACGTTTTTTTGGAGTCTCAATTTGAGTCTCTATATCACATCCCTGATCTTCTAACCTTTAAGTGTTAACATGTTTGAAGGTCTCTCACCTTGATGCCTCCCATCCTCTGCTCTCCCTTGAACTCTTTCCCGTTCTTCAGCCAGTGGATGGTGGGCTGCGGGTTTCCTGACGCGGCGCAGCGAAACTTGACTGTGTTGGCGGCAGGAACAGCCAGCAGCTTCTTGTCCATCCGGTCAGCCCGGCTCCAATATGGAGCTTCTGCTGAGAAACACAAAACAGGTTGTTCCGTCAGTCATGGGAAAAAATGTCTATCCTGATATAACACATCATTAAATTGATAGTTTTATTAAGTCCTGACATTTCCCCTGAAATCATTTGATATATCTCTTATCATTGGTGACACATTTTATGTAAAACAACACATGTCCAAGTGAAGCATCAATTTCATTCTCAAGTTTTTTTTTTGTGCCTGTCTACTTTTAAGTTGTTGAATTGTATCGTCCTATGGCTCTTGTTAAGGGTTTGGGTTATTTTAAGGGGGTTATTAAAGTTATTGAAACAGAGAAAAGTAGTTTCATATAAGCAAAATCACCAATCATCACATTATTGAATGATTTCATACAAACCTTGAATCATGTCCCCCTAGTTTATTCTGAAGTCTTTATAAGAAAACTGCAATTCAGTCTAAATCCTGACCCTTTAAATGAGACAATATACAAGTATCCCCTCCAAAAGGTTGCAATTGTTTGGTAGCTGGGAACAAGTCCATTCAATTAATATAGTTATTTGATAGTTCCAAGTTAAAAACGGAGACTTAAAAAGTATTTTTTGTGACTTAAATCTGACTTGCTTTGCAGAGACTTACCACTTTCTTATTCTCAAAGATCGGCCCCCAGTTTTCCACTTTCTGAAATATTCTTAGATCATAGGAATTTTTAGAAAGACCCTCCAGGAATTCACATGTTTTAGTAATTGCTGAAAGATGGGACAGACGGTACAACTTGCTGCTCTGCCCTGTCTTCAAATTGGTCCATCTTGGATGAGTTATGCACTTCACCAGAACAGATGTGAGGTTGTGGTTTCCTATAGAGGTCTTCCCTCACCGCTCTAATAAACAACACACAGTACCTGCACCCACTTTCCCCCCAATGTCAAGCTCTATTCTCTGAAGAAAAACAGTAAAGATGTGCAAACGGACTAAAACACAGTTTGACGGACGCTGAAAGGACACGGGTGCGTGAAGCGTCAGGCGGACCAAACAAAGCTTATGATCGTCTTCCCCCGATAACAATGCAAGAGTTCATTTGAATCGCCCGATCCTGAGAGTTTGGAAACCTGTCAGGGCGATTTATTGAGTCGTATTGAGAAGGAGGCGGACAAAGAGAGTGTAGCGAGTCAGAGAGGCCTATTGTTGCCGAGGTGTGGGTGAGGGCACTGAGGCGTGGCTCACTCACTCTCTTTATTGGTCTGTGTGGACAAAGGCTGAGGAGGTGGCTGACCGGTCATCAGATGTCTCTTTTACTTTTCTGAATGCAGGAGCAGAGAGAGGAGCTAATTACCATCTCAATGTCTGCGCTTCTGTGTGTGTGTGTGTGTGTGTGTGTGTGTGTGTGTGTGTGTTGTGTGTGTGTGTGTGTTTGTGTGTGCTCCTCTGAGTCTGTGTTTGTGTGTGCTCCTCTGAGTCTGTGTGTTTGTGTGTGCTCCTCTGAGTCTGTGTGTTATCAGACTTCGGGTCAAACGAGAGTTAAAAAGTAATTCTCACCCTCCAGCAACACATTTATCTCATCAGCTCAACTCAGATGAGATGTCGATCAGAGAGGTGTCGCCTTTAGAATAAAACCCCAGTGTGGATGGACTTTGAAGAACAGCAGGCTATTCTCATGCACTGTTTGTTGCTATACCAAGGGGGGGGGAAATGCATGGTAATTGGTGTTTCTGACATACCTTTAAAACAGAAAGCAAAGAGAGAGTGTCTGCAACTTATGTGGTTATTTTAAGACTTTTTTTTTACTTAACCTCTTCCGTTGTTATTTTTACCCAAAATTTGACTTCATGTTACTTTGCATACTTTGGTAGTTATTTTAAAGCCAAACATAGAACCGTCTTTTACATAACTTTGCCACATTGGCAGTGACCAAAAACTTTGAATTATACTGCATGTCATTTAGCCACTTCAGCAGTTTCGTTTATCCAAACTAAGATATACATTTCACGTAACTTTGCAACATGGGTGATGATTTAAACAGAAATCACAATGTTTTCCTAAACCTAACCAAGCGAAGTGAAGACAGAAAAGACTGAATGCATGTATCTGCAGAATTTGACAATTGTTGCTGCAAATTCTTAAAAGAACGCATGAAAAACAAGGATTGGCTTTTCGTTTGATACCAGTGTGTGTCTGTTTATAATATTGCTTTGGGTGTTCTGATATATTTCTGACACACACTTCTTTGGCAGCTGCCATCAAACTTTGGCGTCCTCTTCACAGAGTAATTACAACCAGACCAGGAGAAAGAGATATTCAGCGATGAAAGACACAGACGTATCTTCTTAGAGAGCAAACAAACAGAACGTTTACTTACACTATTGAACTGACGGTAAACTGTGTGTTTACAAACTGTAATGAAGCGTCTGAGCACGCTCCCTGTTTGAGTTAGAGACTCCCCAGCTCGCTAGGGCAAAGGCTTTCAACGTGCAACGCTCATACACACTGCCTCCACCTTAAAAGGGAAATATCTGTAAGATTTCATTACTTCTCTCTCTCTCTGTGTCTGCTGTCTCGGCGTATTTGGAGCGACACTCTGCGCAGCGTGGGACAACCCTCCAAGGAGTCTGAACACATTGTTTTCTTGGCATGATAATCAGCCACACACACACTCTCAGGCAAACACAAACACACTGGGTTTTTAAACAGTCTCTCTCCCGATGTGTGGTCCTCCTCTCCCCCCCCTCCTCCTGCTGCTGCTGCTCCTGAACTCAGCTGGGCCTGAAAACACCGTCATGAGGACTTTTCCTGTCTGGATTCATTCCTTCGTTATGGATTCATCCCGAAAAACACACACGATTTGTTTATTCGCTGACCCTTAAGTGCTAAGTGCTGAGTTACTGCGCAAGATCACATACACATGCTGTGAAGTAGTCTTTTTTGGCAATATAGTTGTGCTAAAAGTGTTTTTTCTCTGTTTAGAGCTAATGCTGTCGTTCTTCTTTTCAATTTTTATTTAGTTTTATCCTTCTGCAAGGAAAAAGCTATTTGATATAATTTAAAACAAAGCTGGAATTCACTGATGTTCATCTTTTTGTCTTTAGGGCATCTAAAACTGATTATGTTTTTACATTAGGACCCTTATTCAGGAACTTTGCAATGCAACACAGTAGGGCTGCTCAATTAATCGTATTTTAATCGCGATTACGATTATGGCTTGCAACGATTACGAAAACAACGTAATCAAAATAAAACGATAATTTTTTTATTATTTTTTTTTTTTTTTTTTTTTTTAAATAATTGTTTTTCTTTTTCTGGTTTTTCAGTTGAATTATACTTGAAGTTCAGGGTAATCAACTGTTAAAAACATACTGTTCACATTTTCTTTCTCCAATAAATGGATGTTTTCAAAGTCAATGAATAATCACAATTACAATTATTGACCCAAATAATCCAGATTATGATTTTTGCCATAATCGGCCCTACATTGTGTCTCNGGAGGACATTACGAGGGTTAAGAGATACAGATCAAGAGTATTAACTAAACAGTACATTTACACCATATCTATTCTTTACCCAAACAGTTACTGCCAATTAAAGCCAAGTGTTCGGTCTTGTTTCAACTTTTCCTTTTGCCTAAATGCTTATAAAAGTACTTGTTGTCATCGGCCTATAGTTAGTACCTATAAGGATGAGTTTGATACAGTCGCTGTTAGTGCCTTTAGATAGCCAGGACCAGAATACATAATCTAATCTAACCTGAGCCACAAAATAAATTAAGCAGAATACAGTAGAGCCCTCCTGCTGTTCATTCAGGTTAAAATGTCAGACCTTTAATTGAACCTTCCATCCTGTGGGATTGAAAAAAGTGAATAGAATATTCGTGTCTGCTCCGAGTCTTCTTCTAAAAGTCTTCCCTATGAAATATATGAAAGGAGTCTGCTGCCAGCTCCCTGTGTGACTGAGGCTTCCTCTAATAGCCTACAGGGGAAATAAATGAGGATTCCCACCGCCGCAGCGGTACTGCTCGCTTACAATGCTGTTTTATTGACATCCAAATCTACCTATGACCCATAATTAAATTATAAGCTTGGCAAGGTTATTCAGAACTTCGACTTGTATATGCATCGATCCAAACCGGGCTGCTTCTGTGCATGTAAATGAAATATCTCAGCATTTATTGTTTTTTATTCAAAGCAAGGGCAATATATCTGTAATAAATTAAAGTATTATTCACTGAAAAGCTCCTTCACTTGTCCCTGAGACATACAAATTGTGAGTAACCCAGTTAAGGAGTGCACAGGGTGCGCATGTAAACATATCTGCTGTCTCCGGTGCTGTCAGCGTGTGATGGATGAGCTGTGAGGGAGATTAAACGCTGCTCAGTGTGCAGTGACAGGTGAGTCCGGCGGCTCTCTGCTCCACGCTGCATTTCTATCTGTCTCCAGACGGAACGAGGCCCCTTTGTCAGGAGCCGCACTACAAAGCCCCTTCAGGTCTCCATTGTTCTCTGCGATCAATGTGGAATTACAGGGTTGGAAAGCACTGTGAGCACTGTGAAAGGAGTTCTATTAAAATGATGTTAAAAAATATGGTTGAGTGCTTTTATAGCTATAGTTAGGGCTTGGAGGTTATCTGTTACAATAACTAATTACATGTAAACATAATTTCATTATCACTATATGAAGGTAATGTGACATGGTTGATTTCCGTTTAATACCATGAGCTTGTCTCTATTTTACATTATGTTACATTTTACATTTAGTCTACATTGTCCATTGGCTGTAACATTGTTAATTTCCCCCTGTCGAATAAAGGACTTCTGATGTTGGTTAGTTTGGGATTACTTCAATATCAAATGTGCAAAAAAAGACAATAAAAGATATATCAATAAAATGGGCATTATTTAAGTGTCTGATGTAATACAAAAGAACAATGTTACCCTAACCCCAACCCTTACAAAATGAGAAACCAAGATGTTGTATCTGCTAAGTGTTTATTTCTAAATTAAGAAAAATCTATCTTTCATTAAGCATATTAAGGCAATAGTCTATAGAGTCTACTCTAGACCAACAATGAAAGTGCATAATGCATGACAAAAATTGATTTAATAAAAAAGGAGGGGGCTGAGCTCATGCGGGACCCGGCAGCTACTGTCTAAACTAAATACTGCCGTGATGAAACGCCATATCATGGATTATCAAGGATTATCTCTGAAACAGTATGGAGATCAAAGGCTTTCTCTCTTGCCGGTTATACCACAAGGTGAGTTCCTTTTCATTTCCTGCTTCTTCACACACATGCTCTCCAGTACAGGTTAGCTCTGAGTGTTAGCGATGCTAATGTAAACACGGACCATATTACGTCCAAAACAGTCGGGCATTGTTTCTGATAGCAACGTTTCTGATAGGGCCGTGGGTCCACATTTCAGATATTACGTCATATCGGACACAAATCTGGATCAGCTCCGTTGTACCCCCGTTTTTAGAGATTTGGGTACGGAGGAAAACAGAGAGGGTTTTATTTTCTGACGCTGCGTGAGTTCCCTGACACACCGGGGACACATCTTTATAAAAGACATCAAAAAGTGCATTTTGCATGATAGGTCCCTTTTAAGGGGGGAGAGGCAAAAATAGCTTTAAAGACAAGAACAAAAATAAAGTAAATACATCATGTGTTGTTACATCATTTCCTGCCTTTTCTCTGTTCCCAGAGACACGTCAGCATAAATGTCTTGATGTTGCCTGAAGAAGCACTTAGGCATAAACTCTGCAATCCAAGCCTTTGTGTTATTCAGGCCTTATTGTGCCTATAGCATTTCACTGTGGGTCGAAATATAAATAATCACAAAAGAAACCATTGAAATAACAACAGCAATGCTGGCTTTCAAAGTTCTTGTTGCTCTGTATCTACTGATCTGTTTTTATCGGTGAAGAGTTCAGTTATTTTTTTCTGACGGCAATTAACACCAAGTCACATTTTCTGACTGGCTTTTAAGAGATTAAAAGGGACATCGATGATTTAAAGATCTATCAAAGTGGTTATATATTCTTCAAAATCTATCATTTGGTGTTCAAACAGCCACAAGATGAACTGTAATGTATTTTAGAAGCACCGTGCGTAGGTAGGATTTGAGTGTCTGGCGACCTCCAGTGGTGAGACGTGAGAACACAGAGGCAGAAAAACACAGGCTGAGAAACTGTTTTGAGAAAGTGCTGTGAATGTAAAAGCGCATTAGTCAAAGCTCAAGAACAACACAGGAGAACTATGATCAGTGCAAGATATCCAAAAAGTTTTATTACAATTAATTCACTTTTTTATCTAGAAAATAATTAAAGTAATGAGTTAGCAACACATTAACAATTTCTGCTGTGCATAAAAGTGTTTTTCTACATGATCCTTTGAGTCTTTTGAGAGTTAACAGTCCTGCAGCTGATGTATTTAAAAGCCTCATATTTACATTACTGATACATCAAAGAGACGTTATTATTCTGAGCCATGGCAGAATAAAAACCCATTACCCATTTAGCGTTAACACATTTAAAAGTTATTTAAAAAACCCTTTAAACAGCTTCATCTTAAAAGAGTTAGAGACAAACAACCAAGCATAATAATTGATGTTTACATTCGACCAGCGTTCAAGCCATGATACAGTTTGTAAAAATATTTTACATTAAAAATAATGACTGACAGAAGTTTGCAGAGTGACTTGGTAGCAGCTCAACTCACGGGTTAAGATCAATTCATTGATTCAGTAGTAAATAAAATCTGATATATGTTCCTTTTATTGAATTTAAGATGCAAAACAAGCTTCTCCCCTGAAGCTTAAAAACATTTGATATTTAAGGGATCACACAGTAAATACATAATAAATCCCAGAGACATTCAAATAACTGGAATGATTCATACATCCTCAACTTCCGAGGAATAAAAAGCCACATGTTCTTTTTATGCTTCATTCATGTCTCATTTTCAAAATGGACTCTGCACCCTATGTAATGTCTCTCTCTTTCACTCTTACCATCTCTTTCAGCAATGATCAACAATACCAACAATTGGTATGAAATGATTCCCAAAATTAGTGCAAAAAATCACTTTATACTCAAATAATCTGGAGTAATAACTTTCAACAATAACTTCTTTTATAATCTCTGTTAGTTTTTTAGCTAATTTATGCTACATGCTAATCGTCTGGCACATTACTTTAACATGTAACACCTCCTCTGTCCCTTTTTAAAAATCTTTAAAAAGCAGTAGGACTAACGTTTAAAATGTAGTCAAATCATTGCGCTGCTGCCCGTTGTTTTCATATTATTAAAAAGGAGAAAATCAGTAGTAGTACCTCGGAGTGGTTCATAAATGACCTGCATTAGAGTTGCTTGTTGTCGTACAAACAGAGAGCCGCAGGCATCAGAGGGGATTGTGGGTAAAGGGATCAGGGAAATCAAGCCTCGTGAGGCGGAGCGTCAAAGAAAATCTCCCGACAGAACCGGGCTGTGTCCTCCGGACAGAAGACGGTGAAACCGATGGTCCGTGGGTCGTTGAAGATTTCATAATCGTTGCCTCCCTGAAAATGAGAAAAAATGTAAATGATTTTAAGAAAACAGATCAAAGTTATTTCTGTTAAGGCTCTGCTCATCTTCAATCGTGAGGTAAGACATTTTAAACTCCAAGCACTGACAGAAACCTTTTTTATCTGAATCAAACATACATTTTCATTATTCAACTAATTTAATATTGATATATAAAGGTTCAACCCAGTCTCATGGCATTTCGTGTTATAATAATTTTTTCGTGTCACACAGAACGATTTTAAAAGCAATGTATTTCTATTGGTAGTGTGTTTCGTGCCTGCACCACGTCTTTTTGTCCGGTCGGGTCCTGGAATACCAGAAGCTGTGTGGTTTATAAAAACATTTTCTTCCTCAATATCTTACCCTAAGCCTAACCCTTTTATTTTAAATTGTATAATGTCGGAGTTTTTTTGCCGCCCGCGAGGAAAAGAAATGGGGATACAGAATACTGAAATCTGTATTTTTTGTCAGCTTTTTTTCCTTCTAATTTGTTATTATTT